TTCTTTTAAAGATTTAATTTAATTTAAAATAATTTAGGAATTATACTTCTTTGAAATTTTGATTTTATGTTATGATCATTCATTTCAATCTTTAAATATAACATGTATTTACAAATAATTGTACAAATAATTGATCTTTATATTCATCCATAAATATTCTAACTAAATATCACTCTCTTAAAGTAACATTCTCATCCTTTTAGGCGGTTAAAATGTGACTTTTTGCTCCATGCACCATTTCCTCAGTGATAATCTGAATGACTCAGGACCTTTTTTCTCCTTCTGACATGTAAAACGTGGCGTCAGAGCTCTGGCCGTTTGCAACTGTATTTAGAGTTTAATCTTAAACAAATCCTCTTCTGGCTCTGTTGTGCGTAGATTTGCAGCAGGGCGTCCGATTGGCCGCCGGGTCTGACTGAATCCAATAAGCTGTGCACAGTCCAGTTAAAACCCGACTACACACAGACTCACACGGCTACACACAGACTCACACAGCTACACACAGACCCACACAGACCGGTAATATTCCCTCGGTTATGTAACCAAATGCTGTAACAAGCTGCAGAAACTGCACATGGGCGGGGGGGTGACCTGCAGTGGCAGCCAGGGGCCTCTGGGGGGCTCCACCACCCTAAACCCGCCACAGATTTACCTGGATGGGTTCTTAAAAGCACACAGGTGAAGGTTTTCTGCAGGTTTTCTGATCATATATCGTAAACTTCTACATTATCTTTAATAAAAGTAATATAAAGTTGTTCAGTAAAAAAAAAAAAATCACTAGAACAGAAATGTATCATGTTGATTCTTTATAAAATGTGTATTAACACGATATAAAAGAAAGAAAATTAGATAAAGAGGGAAAAGGTTCATTTAAAAGGATAATTTCAAGAAAAAAACAGAAGAAGGTTCCTACCAAATATTCACTTTAAGATCAAATTAACTGTTTCTGCTGCAGATTCTGGATTTATCTTGTACAAAAAGTGTACAAATCAGGGCAGATTTGACATGGAATATAATCCAATATTTCTTTAAACTAGCCATCAATTAATAAGATAGATATCCAAACTTTTAAAAAGCTATTTAAAGTGAATAGTCTTAAACCAGCTTTGAGAACGGCCTGCTAACAGCTGCTTACAACTGCTAACAACTAGAAGCAGCTAAGAGATAACAGCTAACAACTAAAAACAGCTAACAGCTAACAACAGCTAACAGCTAAAAGCAGCTAAGAGCTAACAGCTTTTAACTACTAAAAGCAGCTAGGAGCTTACAGCTGCTAACTACTAAAAGGAGCTAAGAGTTAACAGATGCTAACAGCTAACGACTAAAAGCAGCTAAGAGCTAACAGCCGCTAACAACTTAAAGGAGCTAAGAGCTAACAGATGCTAACAGCTAACAACTAAAAGCAGCTAAGAGCTAATGGTTGCTAACTACTAAAAGCAGCTAAGACTTAACAGCTGCTAACAGCTAACAATTAATAGCAGCTAACTACTAAAAGGATTTAAGAGCTAACAACTGCTAACAGCTAACAACTAAAAGCAGCTAAGAGCTAACAGCTGCTAACTACTAAAAGCAGCTAAGAGCTAACAGATCCTAACAGCTAACGACTAAAAACAGTTAAGAGCTAACAACTGCTAACAACTAAAAGCAGCTAACAGCTAACAGCAGCTAGACCAGCTAATTTCCCATAAAATTATTTTGATCACCAATATCTCTATTTATTTGGCAGAATTACTTGAGAAACCAGAGAAACAGGCAAAATAAACCAAATCTGCTCCTCATGATGCCAAATGACAGAAAAAGCATTTTAAAACGCAGCTATTTGCAGCTTTTACGGCTATTTTCTGGTTGTAACAGGAAGCCAAACCAAAGGGAATCATTGCTGTGATCGGGTGGAAAAGGAGGAAAGGACCTGAAAAAGGGAGGACAAACCTGTCCAGGCTGTAGAGCGTGTGCGAGTTCCTGACGACGGTTTCCACCCCGAACTCCTGCGCCATCTTGATGATGGCGGCGTCCCGCTCCTTCCCGTACGGCTCCGGGTCGAACTCGAAGGTAAGCCGGGTCACGTTCCACTCCTGCACACACGCCGGGTTATTGGCCGGAGAACCCTTCAGGATTCTGCCCAGAGGGGCTCAAATCCAGAAAAACGTCAATGGGAAACACAATATACAAGGAATTAGATTAGATCAGGGGTCTTCCAGGTTTTCCAGGCCAAGGACCCAAAACTGACGGAGGGGGACCCCCTAATTATATATATTTTCTGAAATTGTGTTCTATTAAGCTGGTCCTATAGTGTGTAAATATCCCTTGTTATTGGGCATTCAGTACTAAGATCCTCAGATAATCCAGAATAATCCAGAATACACAATACGATAATACAGAAAAAGGCAGAAAACAGCAGAAAAAGGATTAAAAAGGTAGAAAAACTGCAGACAAAGGCAGAAAAAGAGCAGAAAAAGGCAGAAAAACAGCAGAAAGAGACAGAAAAACAACTGAAAAAGTAAAAAAACAGCCCTAAACCGCCTAAAAACAGACTAAAAATAGTGTGTAAATGTAGCTTGTTATTGGGCATTCAGTACTAAGATCTTCAGATAATCCAGAATAATCCAGAATACACAACACAATTATACAGGAAAAGGCAGAAAACAGCAGAAAAGGGCAGAAAAACAGCAGAAAGTGCCGGAAAAACTGTAGAAAAACAACAGAAAGAGAAAGAACAAGGCAGAAAACAGCACAAAACTCCCTAAAAACAGTGTGTAAATGTCCCTTGTTATCGGGCATTCAGTACTAAGATCCTCAGATAATCCACAGGTTGATATCTTCCTGTTTTTACTGTAAACATCTGGTTCTGAGCTCCTGTGTGATAGATAGATAGATAGATAGATAGATAGATAGATAGATAGATAGATCGCGGACCACCTGTTGAACACCTCCATATTAGAACATTAATCTAATTCACAATACTATAGTAATAGGAATTAATGTGGATATAATGGAAAAAGTGAACCCTCTGGAGGGAGTTTTACTGGGAAAACCTGGATGATTTTCCATCTCTCCATTAATAATTTAAAAAACAAACACTCCCACTCCATCTGTGTCGGATCCCTGGAGGAAAATCAATTTCACATCCTCTGGTCTGGGGGTGTGCAAACGTTTGAAAAAGGTATCAAACATAGACACTTTATCTGACCCAGCAGCTGCCATTAAAGAGAAAAATACAGAACCAGAAAGCCTCCAGAGGACGAGAGGATAGAAGTCCTTTATGACACATCCAGGATGGAAAGAATAACCTTTGGAATAGGAAAACGACAGGACAGGGTCCAGAAAAGATCCTAAAAAAGGTTTTCTGGCACTTTTTTGCTCCTTTACATCAATTTTGTCACTGTTTTTTTTTTTAAATCATGAAATAGTTAAGTTCTTATTCTGATTTCTTTGGATTTCAACTCTTAAAAATGAATGATTAATCTCCGTTTATGGCATTACAGCCATTTTTGTGCAATTATTAATTTATAATTAACAGATTGATGAGCCAAATACAACATTATGTTACATTTATATGAGTCTGCTCTATTTTTTTAACTATAATAGCTGTTAACAGATGTGTTTATGGAGACATTTCTGCTGTTCTGCCGGCTTAATTTCTCCATTCGTGTGAAAAATGAATAGAAAACGGAAGAGTTCACAGGATTTTGGGTTGTAATGACTGAACGTCACGCTCACGTCTGATGAACTAACACAGATACGTGGAATAAAAACAAACGCCTTCCTCTCCTCCGCCCAAACATCTGCCTCCTCTGTCCAGATGTGGACCTTCCTGTCCCCTTTTTTAAACCCTTTCTGTTGATTCTTTCTTTCTCGTTTATTTATTTTTCCATCTCTCTTCTATAAGTAATTTGTTTTATTGCTATGTGTGATTATCTGCAGTATTTTTGAAGGAGTTATCGTAGGTTTTTGGAACAAATTATAGGAATTATACTGTATTTTGATGGGAATATTTAAACCAAGATAAATAACTTTAAACTTTAATACATGCTCTGATAGGCCGGGATTGGATCAGAAGTGAAAAAAGCTGGGCCAATAAAAACCCTTTTTATTGATAATTTCTTTCTCATTTATTTCTTTGTTCAATAGTGAATAAATAGCTATCAAAGCTTACATTTGGGATGGGGTTTGATTTTTTCTTTAGCTTTAAAGATTTTATTGATTTTTTAAAGAGGTAAAAAACCCTAAATCACCCTTAAGCATTAGCATTAGCATCAGTAACCCACAGGTCTGTGTCCTAACCATTAAGTTGTTATCAGAGTAAATCCCTGTTCAACATGAGTCTGACAACTAAGTA